GGTACAAGTCTAACTGTTAGCTTGGCTTGACGCATTTATAAAAAAACAAATAGTCTGGCCTAACCCATTAGCCTGTTAATTTTTAACTTCCAAGCAGAACCTTGAATCAACTTTACAAAATACTCAATTCTATTGCTAAACCAAAAATCATAATTTCAACGTCCAAACAGAATCATGAATCACAACAAAACTCATACAATCTGCATTTAAGTCACTTTCAAAAGCAAAATGCTCAAACTAAATAACATATATTTCATCAGATCCAAGAAACAAATCCATATTATGTAAATTAAAATAGCTACATGAATCTAACAAACACATCATGATGCTTGTAGTAAGTATAACCTCTCCCGAAAACCTTTTGATACACATATACACAACCTAACATGCTGAGATCTTGGTTCCTCCTGCATAAGAAATAAAGTCAGATTTCTATTAAAATATAATCGAATATAATTAAGTTATAAATAATTACAATTGATTAAATTTATATCTTTTGTTTTTTTTCAAGGCATACTTATTCTATTTTATTTTATTTAAAATAAATAGTACAATATAGGTCGGCCTGTAGGCTTATAGGCCAAGCTTTGTGTTTTTTATTAAACAAACTTTTTTCAAGGCCCAAGCTCGGCCTATTTTATGAAATATATTACGTCAGGTCTGGCCTGACGTTGGCTGAGCCGCATGTCCCTATAGACCGCCCGATTCAGTTTCACCCCTAGCTACAATTAACCATCCTATGCTAATTGTCGCCCTCTCACTGGTCTGCTGCTTCACTTCCTCAACTGCTGGTATAATCTTTCATCCAGACTGGTTTCTTTTTTTTTCTAGTGGGCTTAGTGATACTCAGAGCTGGGCCTTCAGTGGTTGGAATTGGGTCTTCAGAGATTGGGCTCGTAGCAACTACCCTCTCCCCTAGCAAGACCTTGTCCTCAAGGTCTATTCCAGAATAGGCAAAACGTAAGTCATCAGTTGACTCTCATGTTGCATCCTCAGGAATTATGTCTGTCCACTGGATTAGGTATTGTAATTGAGGGGTGCCACAAATCAGTAATGAACGAGATGCCAAGACTGCAAAAGGCTTTTGAACACGATCGGGGTACTGGATCACTGGTCGGACTGATTGGTCACTGATCGGACCGGATGACCCAGATATATAAAAATATATATAAATATGAACATATAAATTCAATTATATTCTCCACATCTAAAATGAATTAAACAAGATTCACTAAATAACCTCAAAAATATAAAGCATAAATAAATAAAAATGCATGCTAGTACTATGTCAATTTAAATTGTAACTCAAAATCTCCATAAACATACCTCTCAATGACATTGAACTCATATTTTTCAAATTCAACTACATTAAAATGACATATGTCATATTCTCTAACTTATTATTCCGCAAATTGCTTCAGTATTGGAAACTAAAATTTGAGATTATTGTAAAAGAGTATACTAGCAAATAAAATTACAAAAAGTTTTTAAAATGAGTTTTACATTTTTTCTGATAAGATGAAACAGTTTTGGTTTTTTTAAAAAAAATTCATGACCTGACCGGGTCACTGGGTGGGGTTTGGCCGATTTTTTTCGGGTTTTGATCGGATTTGACCGAGTCGATGTATGATCAGTCCAATGCTTGATCCGAACTTGTCTGATGACTAGTTCAACAAGTTCCGGGTCGATCCGGGTTTTACAAGTGATTTTAATTAAAGTATTACAGTTATGGATTCAACTCGAGCCACCAACCTTGGACACCATTGGACAGTATGTAATTTGCAATCTCATTTGATTAGTAGTTAAAAAAATGAATTATGAAAATAAGATAAGTTTACAGATTGAATGAAATGACATATACTGGAACAATTTTATGATCTTTTTTTTTTAATTTCAAATTTTTATTAAAATAAGAATGTATTAATTTTAACCACATGTTCAATTCTATTCTATTGTTAAAATATACCTAAACATAAAACATAACTCTAACACGTCTAGCCGTATAAACGTTTTAACCGTGCTTGTGATCGAATTTTTTTTCCTTTTATATTTATTTTTTAAAAAATAGATGACATTTTTGTAATAGATATATTTATTAAAACAAAAAGAAATCAAACACCCTCTTTTAATATTTACATTCACATTCTCATTTTGTTAAAAAAAAACTCATTTCATCAAACTAAATATCTTTACTATATGCAATTCCAACTCATATGAAAGCTATTAATGAGAAAGCTAATTAACCAGCGCATTGAAATGTGAATTCCGCCTATCAAAAAAAGAATCGTGAATTCTGAGTACGCAGTGTAAGTTGGTTAACGAAACAGAGGCACGATATTGATGATGACTCCTACTTAATAGTTGCTACTATCATTAATTATTTTGGCTATAATTTCTTTGTACCAGCTAAACAGAGTTACGGGTTTAAAATTCTTAACAGATCATTTTTTTTTGGGTGAAATTCTTAAGAGAACATTTGAATACGTTTGTGCGAGCAAACTTAAGTGTGTATTTAAAATTGTTTAAATAACACTATTCTCACTGTACCTAACCCAATTTAGGACCTGTTTGGATGAATTTTTTTTTCTTCAAAAGCTGTTTTTTTTCAAAAAAAAAAACACTTCTCGTTTTTTTTTTTCATTTCGATGTTTGCTTTAAAAAAACAGAAGTCACAAAAAAAATCAAAAATCTACTTTTTCCATAAGCTAAAAATTTAACTTCTAAGAAAAGCAAAAGTCAAAAGCCAAATATTTTTTTTAAAAACTAAATATTTTTATAAAAATATAAATAGCTTTAACTTTTATAAAAAACACTTCTAAAATAAAAAAGAGATAAAAATTACTTTTTTGATAAGTCCAAACAAATGAGCTCTTAATCGTTAGACAATGCTGGTTGATTAGTGTAAATCTTTGTTAATAGCCCAAGATGTCAAAGAGATAAGCTTCTAATGGACTTAAAGAAAATCATAATAGTAGATTAATTACTATGTTTCAACTAAAATTCTTGAAGTGATAGGTTTATTAGTGAGTCCACTTATATAATTTTCACATTAATTATCCATTCTTTCCAATATAAGACATATTCAGTTATACTCGATTAGAACTTACACTGAATTTCCCAATATCACGAGGTTACTCCAACGGCCCCAAGGTGTCCTTCAACAACATCATTTCTTTCTCTGATAGAAACCTTTGATTCTTGATTGGTTTCATCATTGCCATCAAAGCTAGAGTCGTGTACAATGTTGGGCAAGCTGCAAGCTTTTTTGTTGGGTTTAATTTGTACAAAATTGGTAATAATGAGAATGATATAAGATGATATTATGCAATAAAGTTACATTTAAGGTGGCATGACTACTTTATTATTAAGGACTTGGATAGAAGATTAGCGTAAAAGTTAATATGCATTGGTTGGTGAGGTCAGGTAGTCGTATTTGTGAGCTTGTAAACACAAGGAGATTTCAAAACTTGCCTATTGTTGAAAGGGATTTTTTACATTTTAACTGATAATTAATTACACAAAGCTTAAGAAACTTTAGATCACAAAAATTACAAATTTTCTTTCTAACCTTCGTACTTTATGAGACGAAGCAATATATATATATATATATATATATATATATATATATATATATATATATATATTGCTTGGTTTCATAAAGGAGATTTCAAACTGATAATTAATTACACAAAGCTTAAGAAATTTTAGATCACAAAAATTATAAATTTTCTTTCTAACCTTCATGTGATGCACTTATACCACTTTATGAAACCAAACAATATATACATATACGGGAAATCATTTTCTCATGTTATATGAGAAGAATAATATTATGTAGAAGAGATAATATCACAAGCGAGACTCACATGCAAGAGGAAAGAGAACAAATAAAAGTGAACCCCACCTCTATTTTATGTGTGTAAAAATTAACTTGACTTCTCTAATATGAAATGAGAAAAATATAACTCTATATACTTACCGAGGTCATTGACCCACTAGTTAAATCAGTAACTCAATATCTCGATCGGATAAATAATCCAACCGGATTTAATAACATTGTGAAAAGGTATTCAATTGAGGAAGACACGAATAGAGGACAAACAATAGACACAAATGAAAGAGAGATGTTAACACTTGCAGAATATTATGATACTTTTACATTTTTTTCTTATCACTTATACAATATAATAAAAATTTGATATTTGTCCACTAATTTTGATTATATTTGATTAAATAAATAAATAAATAAATAGGATATGAGTAGATAAATAGAAGTTCGATAAAGAATCTGTTAATAATATTAAATTTTTCATTTTATAACTACTAAGAGAAAAAAATTTGAAGAATGAATTTGTTTATACTTGAAGAAGATATCGCTTCTGAGTCTTTTTAACGTGGTTGAAGTTTCTGGAAGGTTTTTCCACGTGCTTTTAAGGAGGAAGATACAATAAATGACATTATGAGTCTAGTGCACAGGATTGTTAGTTGGACCGATTGTTAGTTAGATTACTTTATGAGTGTAGTGCACAGGCCCAAAATAGAATTGAAAATATTAAATAAAAAAATTTAATAAAATAAAAAAGATACGTGATTTTCCATCAAAAGTTAGATGTTCAATGAAGGAAAGGTAAATTTTTTATTTCAATATTAAAAATACACATCGAACTTTTAGCTGTCGTTAATAAATTCACTAACGGAATTGAATAGAGAGAGAGAGAGAGAGGGTGCAGAGCTAAAACTGAAAACAAGGCGCGCGCACGCAGTTACGACACTGTTTCTGGAATTGTCCTTAACGGGAAACAAGAAACGGTTACGGGCGGTGAGATACAAGGGAACGTGTCCGGTCGATCTCGAAGCGAAGGTCCAATAAAGTAAACGACAGGGAATTGTTCATGCCGTTTCAATTTCCTTACCTTCATATTGATGTCTATCCTAACAAATCTCCCTTAAAATATACTTTGATTTTTTTTCTCCAACGTAAGTCGTGTTCCTCGTCAGTTCATTGTTGGTCTTTTTCTTTCTTAATCCTTACTATAACCTCCTTCGGTCCTTCCTGCGATTCTCATCCATGGCTTCGGTACAATTCTTCATTTTCCCCCCATCATTTTCAATTCTTTGTATTTGGTGTTCAAGGACAAAAAAATACAATAAATAATCCATGTTATGAAAATCGTTTGATATATATAAAATATGATATCAATGGATCATTGCATAATTAAGTACTCTAATTGCTTGCATTATCGGAAAATTGATGATGATAATGATGATGATACAGATCGAATGGAATGCTACTTTTGAGAAGCATGTGTATGTCTTTCACTTTATGGAATGTTTATTCATTGATAAATGAGTTAGCGCTAGCTTGTGTTCAATGAGAGGGATACAAGGAAATGAATAGGTCCAATCTGGAATCAGAATAATAACTCGTGTTTATGAATTGGAAATGGTGCAATTGAAAGTTCTCATGTATCGAACTTCTGAAGCTAGCTAGTTTGACCCGGTTGTTTCAATGGATGAAATCAGTACTTAAAATCTAAATCATTCTGTTCAGCTACGTATGAACTGGTTGTAATTTTTTTCTTTACTGTTAATGCAATCAATACAAGATCTTATTTATAGGGTTGGACAGTCAATCCTTATTGCAAAATGTTACTTTTTTTATTTATGAAATTAAGATAACGCATAAGCAGGTCAGTCATCAGTTTTTAGAGAATATACAAAATGATATGGTATTATATTATGAATTTTCTGTTATGGAACATAAAACATGCTATCAGGACATTAAACTCAATCTCTATTAACTGTTCAACTTTTTCTTCATATACAGCAGGAGAAAGGTCGGCCATTGCCTAAATTCGGTGAGTGGGATGTGAACAATCCTGCCTCAGCCGAAGGGTTTACTGTCATATTCAATAAGGCTAGGGATGAGAAGAAGACTAACAATTCTGCAAAGAAAATAGTAACCCCAAGTGGATCTGATCTTGTGTTCCAGAACAAGGAAAATTATCCTCAATATCCTCGAAAGGTGAACTTAAATAGTTGATGTTAGTGTTCCTTTTCAGCGTCTGGGTTTATGCTTGGTGTTTGAATATATCCCTCTCATGAGCTTTATTTAAATTCTGAAATGAAATTTAAATGCAGAGCAAGTGGTTTTGCTGCGGTTGACTGTATAGTAATTTGAGTGCCTAGAGGACATGAAATATGGCTCCACATGAGGATTAGACGAAGGGAGCCTTCTACATACCCCAATTGCTATGTGAACCATGTGTTCTTGCAAATCTGGTGGAGCTGGGAACGGTTTATGATCCTATAATTTCTATTTGTTGTCTTTCACTTTTCTTTTTTCTTTTTTCATTTATTTTGCTTTGTTTTCACCTTCTTTCGGTTTGCAGGATCACAACCTGATATATATAGTTTTTACTGTGTAAGAATCACTCACATGTGAGAAAAAGTAGTGTGAAATGTGGTGTAATAGAAAAAACTGTACAAATGTAACAAAAAAAATATTGTACAAAAAAATCCCCCTATTAAATATAGTCTGTCTGTAATACTAATCGACCTGTGATTAATTGAAAGAAATGATATGCTGATTGTGTTGGAATTAATTTTGGATTAATTATGTATGTGAATAAGAAGTTTGATATGGAAAATGTGTGTCTTTTGGTAGTTGAAGGGATGTGTCCTTTCGTGTCGAATAGATATATTGTTTCGTCATCGAATAAGTGCCTTCTGAATCATGACCTTATCATTTCTATAAATATATATAGAATCAGAATTTTAGAACAAGTTTTTTTCCCTATTAGATTTGCATTTGCATTTTTTTACTATGTCGAGTTCGATGGAGCTATTCAATATGGAAGTACTGCCACAAGAATAGAGGTAATTCATTATCTACGAATCTTGGGCACAGCAATATTGTGTTAAGGACATAGTGTTTAACACTGGACTCAAATTTTTCCTTATTGCATTCATATAACTTTGTACGGTACGCTTTAACTAAGTGTTATTGCATGTTACAATTTCTTGTGTGTTTTTCATATAATTGTGAATGTTGTCGAATTGATTTCTGCAACACAGATTATTCGCAGAGTGATTTTAACATCATTTGACTAACAATCTTTAAGACGATTATGAATTCACTATTAATACGTGTTTACGGTTTCCATCAGTATCGATTTTTTCCTGAATAAATCATAAACACGTTTGTCTGAATTCTCGTGTTTCTCGTATTGTTTTGGAACAGTATTACTAATCTGCATGTATTAATATGCTTTCCGTACGGTTTCATCTTTTCTTCAATTGTGAAAGTGATTAACGAAGTGCTTCTTGATTTTCGTTATTCACCGTGTTGGTTCTTTTGGGTTTTGTTTACGGATGAAGTTTGTGCTTAGGGTTTAAACTTTCATGCATGCACATGATGAAGCTATTGTCTAAGAGAAAGAATGTAACTGAATCTATCACCTCAGTCGAGTGTAAGATGACTTGCACATATTGTACACCAAGCACTATAATTTTGGCCTTTAGCTTCTATGCATTCAGATTTTTATGGAAAAACTATGAAACCAAAAAATTTACCTGCTAACATGTTTGGTTTTAATTGAAGAGAATAATTTTTTTTCTTTTTCTTTTTTTAAAAAATCCTCAATAATGTTTTTATTATAAATCATTTTGAATATAAAACAAATTAATCTAAACACACAAGTCAAGAAACAATTATATCCTTTTAACACTTACTAAATTTATAGAAAAGAACAGAGGATAAAATAAATTACATTTCTGTTTTTGAGAATTGTGTATGAAAAAATAATGCTAAAGAAGCAGGGTTTTAAACATAACATCGATCAAGCAAGGATGTGAAGTGCTCAACAATCGTCTAGAAAGTGTTTATCTACCATAAGGGTTATAAGTATTAACACCGATTTATTAACACTCGATTTTTATACAAGCCAAAGAGGATCACTTAGCTTTTACATGTACATACAGTATAGTTAGTGACAGAAAGAGCCTCGTATGTTTAAAAATGAATATCATATCTGAATAAAATCCAAATCTTTGTTGGCATTGTCAGTGTACTCTAAAATCCAAATCTTTGTTTGGTAGAGGAAAAAAAAAAATTTGCCCGAGAATCTTGATTTTCAAAAATATGATTTTTACATTCAGTTTACGATAATATCCAAAAATTTAAAATTTAGAAAAAATCAGTTTCCCGAAAATCCTAGCAAAAGCCGCGTACCAAACAATGGCCGCCTAGAAAAATACCAACAAAAACAATGGTTTTACAAATTTAGTTATCACATTGACAATAAGAGGCAATAAGTGCAATTTTTTGCAAAACAAAGTATCCCCACACGGGATGGTTTCGTTTATCAATTATTTCTCCCATCAGATTGTATTGAATAGTTGTCAATTTTGACATACCAAGGTTCATAACTCCATTGGCAACTGTAAAACAAGAAAATCCACATTCACCACCATTTCAAACCAGCCCAACTATAATCCAACACTTGACCAAGTGAGAGAAAACAGACCAGAAACAAAAGATAACCTACAGATGCATATGTTATTATATATTGCTATTATCTGCAAAGCTTGTGTGGCATTGAGCAGAGCCAGAAAAAGTTAAATAAATTTATCATGTTTAAGAAGAAAGCAACAATTTCTGGGTGATATGCATCCTCAAAGGTAGAAGATCCATGACAAAGATGTTCAGACAGATTGCTGAATTGATGCATCACTTGCAGCTACACTTCCACCCATCCGAGCAACCTCAATACTAGCTGAGTTTGTGTAGGATTGCTGACCAAGTTCAGGCATCATTAAGGGCGGTGAGCCTATCGGGTGGTCAAACTTACAAGCTGGTCCAAATTTGCAAATTCCATAGCGACTGTAATGTGAGCAGACGTTCTGGTCCTGGATTTCATGACAAATAAAGTGTTAAATAAGATAAACATAGCCAATCTAGCTTGTTGTCTCATATGACTGAGCAAACTAAAGGTATTATCTCACCAAAATCAGAAACTCAATCATCTCTAGGTCACACAGCCATGCTAATTCCATTTTCCAGAATTTAAGATTAGCACAACCACATTTTAGAAGAAAAAAAGTAAAGTAAAATTCCAAGATTTTAAAGTTTCCATAGAAGCAAAAAAAACAGCAGCATAACTTACAAGTAATCATCCCTCCCCCAAACCAAAAAAAAAAAAAAACTTACCGGTCTCAAAGGCAGACCCTTGTCACTGAGGTTGCATGGAGGTAATTTTGCAACCTGATTCTTGGGATGGTGGAATTTACAATTAGATTTAAACTTGCAGTCCCCAGTTTTTAAGAAGTAGCTGCATTCAGGTTCCCCCGGCCTTTCCGGAAACTCTTCAACTGCCATCTGCTTCTGACGGTGCACATAAATATTTGTTTCAAGTGCTGGGTTGTTCATGACATATGTAGAAGGTGGATGCATGCTACTCTCAGATAGGTAGACAGGTGCCTTTACAAACCACAAACAGGTCATATTGATAGAAAAACAATAACTTGGGGAGAATTCAGCTGGCAGAATAGTTAACTCGTGGAAAAAGAAAAGAAAAGAAAAGACCACTTAGTGTATTGTGTTGTATACCAATGAATCAAACCCTCCCCTATTGGGGGAAATAGAAAACTAGGGAGGAAAAGAGACAGGGAAGGGGGGTGAAAGGAACACAAATTCAAAACACTAGATGCTATAATCATATCTTTTTTAATTTTAAATTCACTTCTAGGCATAAAGGGAAAGGTCCATTGCTTAATTTGCAATATGCCAGTTTGCTAAACAAAATGGATTACACAACAGATCTACAAAGTAGAACCTAAAATAAAACATAAGAAAGGAAAAAAAATATTCTTTTTGACTTTTAAGTAATTGATGTTGGGCATATAAGGCTAAACCTCAAATAGCTTAATTCTCAATTAACTATTCAGTATTCACTGTATAACCAATCATAAACACATAGGATAAATGACAGTTTGCAATAGCCAACTGACATTATCTCACAATGTAGAAAGTCATTTCAAATAAACCTTGGAAACAGTGGCAGGAAAATATATAGTCACAAAAAGAAAATAATTGAATCAGGCACTGCTAATGTATCATATGTCGTGATAATAGAGCATTAACATTGCGTTATAGAAAATTGGCAGACAAAATGTTATCTAGTACTAAGGCCCCTTGCCAGGTGGTTATTGGTATTGAATCTATGGATTACCTGATATCCATTCCAATCAGCACTTTTGGGAGAAACTCCTCGAGTAGGTGAAAGCATCATTGGCACAAAAGGAGATGTTTCATTTAATGTTCTTGGAGAAGACCAGGCACCTTGTAATGAAATAGACCCTCCATTACCATACCCTGAAGAAGGATCACATCCTCCAACAGCTGTAGGGTCAGGATGATTAAATTTGCAGTTGGCTCCAAACTTACAGGAGCCAGTGCGCATGTAATAGGGGCACTCTTTCTCTCCCTATCATGAAAAACAACCTTATTAACATTTAAGAGACAACTATTTTAGAAGACTGCAAAAAGAGACAAAAGTTGGTATATCTATAAGAAAACTAGGGCCTTACCAGACGAATGGGCAGGCCAAGGAAGTTAAGTTCTAAACTTGGCATTGTTGAGAATATTCCTCTTGTGTGGTTATATTTACAAGCTTTTCCAAACTTACAACCCCCAGAACTTAGATAATACTGCCAAAAAAAGAGGACATGTCAGGAAAAGTGCCATATGTTGAAGATATGGTTCGGGAAAGAGAATACATGTAAACATCACATACAAACATGCTTACCCCGTAAGTTGTTTCAGAGGTCCAATCATTGTCCAACCTAGATTTCATCCATTCATTTATTTACATGTCTAATACTATATTATTATTATTATCATTATGAAAATTGTTATCATTGTTGTCATTATCCTTGCTATCATTGTCATTATTATCATAAGTTGTTTCAGAGGTCCAATCATTGTCCAACCAAGCACTTGATAGAGTAGCTCAAAAAGCACGTATTAATAAATTTTTTCATCCATTCATTTATTTACATGTCTACTACTATATTATTATTATTATGAAAATTCATATCATTGTCATTATTATCCTTGCTAGGGAAGCATGATAAAGCTTATCAGAAAGATCTGCCAACTAATATGCCATGATAAAAACCAAACCACCATCACAAAGATTTCTCTTTGGTTCCCCAGTCCACGGCTAATGTATATCATGTAGATAGCATAGATCAACAAATAATCCAGACACAAAGAAGCAAAAGTGACATATATTAATTCTCAGTCACTGGAACCTATTTATTACTCAAGGGATTTTGATATCTATCACTTTGTCAAACCCAAGCCCCTTCGCTGTCACAAGTATTGCAATGACAGATAATATGACAACATCCAAAATTGAAAACATAACATATAAATGATCTATGATCTCACTGTCAGTGAAGGAAATGAAAAATATAATATAATATGTTAGGTCGAACCACCTTGAGTTAACCTTACACACAATCTTCTACGGCAAAACATAGTCAGTGGAACTTGTATTTTACTGATTATAAGTAATCACCATAGAAACCAGAGTGATAATATGTTGAAATAACACAACATGAAAATTAAACTTTACAGCACAATTTGGTTAGAAGCAAGATTTTGACAATAACCTTGCATTCAGTCTGACCCGATCTTTCTGCTAGTTCTTCTCTCTCTCCTGCCTTCTCCTTGACAGCCTTCATTTATCATTAAAAAACATCAAAACAAAGAATATTTTAAACAGTGAACATCGAATAGGATATTTCCATTCATAAAATGGCCAAGAGAACCTGATTGATCTGCTCAATCACCATATACCTATTAGCCCTTTCAAGTTACTACTTTTCTTCCTTTTTTAAACCCTAGTGAAGTCCTTATGCCATAATATAGACATAGTAGACCTCACGAAAAGTGGAAAATCTAGAATCGGAAGAAGTAATTAAGCAATGCCATAGAGGAAAAAGAAAGACCAAAACAGACATTTCAAAAGCATATTACCAAGATAGCAATTTCTCCAAAAAATACAATTCAATATTAAGTACCAGCCATGATGAACAGTTATTACCAGTCCTCCAATCAAAAGTACTACCTTCACCAGCGAAGGCAAAATACCCTTAATCCAGCTATTCCACTGATATTACAATGTCACCATACACAAAAAGGAAATCTTGGGCCAAAAGATAACCTTTGCATAAGTGAATTCAAAGCCTAACTTTCAATAATGCAATATCTAAATAGATGCATCACTAATAAACATATTATCTCAATAATGTAAAGGAGAAGACAGACAGAAGAAATACCTGGTTTTTCCTCCTAATGGGATGATTAAATTTGCAATTGAATCCAAACTTGCAAGTCCCAGTTTTCATATAGAATGCACAATCTTCAGCATCAGGCCTCAAAGGGTAGTGATGCTGAGTTCCATCTCTGCTTTCATCTTCATTCTTCTCCACTCCATCACCATCAACATCATCCCAACCTACCTCATGATTCACATTCTCATCCCAACTATTGGTCTCCCAACCCTTGCTATCTCCATCACACCTTTCACCCTTATCAGATTCTTCATCACAAACTCCTCCCCCATCATCACCCTTAACAGATTCTTCATCACAAATTCCTCCACCATCGTTAAAGTCCAAAACTTGCTCTCCTCCATCACCCCCACCCTTCAAATCCAACTTGTTCTGAAGTTCCTCACCAAGTGGGTCTTCCTCAGCCACGTGATTGAGATCTGACGGTTGAGGATGATGGGCAACAGGGGAAGAAGGTGCCCACTCAGAACCCAATTCTGGGTCCTTGCCATTAGAAACTACAGCTGAATCGGATTCAGAGGGTTCCATTCTCCCTCCACATTTCAAACCCTAATAATAATGGAAGATATTTTTTATTAAAAAGAAGAATAACACACACGGAGTGAACAAAAAGGGGTAGAAAAAGTTTGTGTTTTTATATGGGGAATAGCAAAGGAGAAGAAACCAGAAGCAGTGTGAACAGACAAAAGGGCAAAAAAGTGTGCTACTTTATGTTGTTGGTGACTTGGTGGTGTGGTTCGGTTCTGTTCCTAGTGTCCTTTGTGTAACGTACTTTTATTTTCTTTTTCACCCCTTTTATGAAAAAGAATTTCAATGATTCCTTTCTAAAATTGTGAAAAAATTTCTTAAAATTTACTCTCTCTTTTTTATTTATATTTTTATTTATGTTCCAAAATTTTCAAAAGAACCACCCGGTAATTGATGGTTCGGATCATTGAAAATTTTCTCCATTTTATGATGCTTATGTTGTTGGTGTAATGTAACCGTATGCATTTCCGCTGGGCATTTGGGACCAAAACAAGCTGCAAGAGTTTTATAGTTGACAAATGTGTTGTCCTTAAGACCTAAGGAAATGCGTTACGAAGGGGAGAAAAAAAACAAGGATGAATGATAAAAGAGAGAAATAAAAATGATGAAAATCTTTGTTCCCAGCCAAAGGGTTTTTGTCAAAAACTTATTGGGTGTTTGTCTATTGCAAAGCGAGGTCTATTGGATTTGGACTTTGCGGATGTGGAACTTTGTATCTTTCTGAAAGGGAAATGTTTTAATAATGCATTATCTTGTGTTAATATGTATGTTTTCTGTTTGGACAAATTAAAGTATAAGGTACGCGGAATTTACCATCCAATGCAATGGAGCATCTTTCAAATTGGCCATTATTTATGGTAGAAAGTGTTGGCGCAATTAGAAATGCGGAAGCGTTTAGACCGTTGCGGTTTGATATGTAATAGATCATCATTGTTTTATGATTACCTCTTGTAGTAGAGAACTGAGAAGATCGTTTACGAACTGGTGTCCTTTTTGTCACAACACGAACTCACGAATCAATCTCTCCTACGTCGCGCCACGAACATATCTCTCTAATTTATGGCAAATCTTTCGAACTATTTCTTAAGGGGAAAGGGAAAGTGTGTTGGCAATTTTTTAAATCTGAGCTTACCTCATTAGTTGATTGACTTAGAGACTGATTACTAAAGTGGTAGTAGTTATATAGGTGCCAAAAAAACCTAGCCCTAAGCCCTCTATGGGCTCTAAGCTTCTTGGACTCTTCTCGTACTCTTAGCCCAAGGGTGTGCATGGCAACCATTCTGTTCCATGGTACTGTTTCTGAAAAAAAAAAATTCTTTTCTATTTTTGTGCCTCAGAACAATTTATGAAAAAAAAAATATGTTTGATAACATGTTTTAGTTTTATTTTGAGAATGAGAATTGTGTTTGATAACAAAACAAATAATAGAATAAAAAATCATTCCTATTAAGCATAAAAAAATTTCGAATCATCACTTTCCTTTTCATATGGTGTGGTGGTGGTGGTGGTGGTTATAGTAGTGGCGTTGTGGTGGTTGCGTGGCATCACGATGGTGGTGGTGGAGGTGATGGCATGGTGATGGTAATGGTGGTGGCGGCGGTGGAAATAATGGTGATGGCATGGTAGCGGCGGCATCAGCGGTGGTAATGGTGACAACGACGGTGGTGGTAGTGGTGCGGTGGTGGTGACGGTAATAGCTGCGGCGATGTTGGTGGTGATGGTGGCGGTAATAGCTGCGGCGATGTTGATGGTGATGGTTGTGATAATGATGGTGACAGCGATGGTAGTGGTGACATAGAGGTGTGGTGGTGACAGCAGTGGCCACAACGATGGTGGTGATAATGGTGGTGATGGTGGTGGTGGCAGTAGTGGTGGTGATGGCGGTGGCAGCGGCAGTGGTGGTAATGGTGGCATAGTAGCGGCAACGGCAGTAGTGGTGGTGGCGGAGACGGTAGTGGCTGCGACATAAGTGATGATGATGACATGGCAGTGGCGGCTGTGGCAGTGGCATGATAATGGTAGTGGTGGTGGTGACAACGGTATCTGCGACGATGGTGATGGAGATGACATGGTGGCGGTGGTGGCGACGATGGTGGTAATGGTAGTAGTGGTGGCGGCGGCGGAGGAGATGGCGGTGGTAGTGGTGGCGTGGTGGTGGCGGTGGTGATGGCAGTGGTTACGATGATGGTGGTGGTGGTGATTGGTGACAGTGGTGACGGTGATGGTAGTGGTGGTGGTGGTGGTATGACGATGGTAGCGGTGGTTGTGGCGAGATGGTGATGATGGTAGTGGTGGAGAGTAATTGAGAGAGATAAGTGTTTCTCATTTTGTGTCCAGGAACAAAAAAGCAAAAAAAAAAATTGATTTTTTTTCCTGTTCCCCAACACAAAAATTAAATCGGTTCATCCCGAGAACAAAAAAATAAACCGATTTTATCAAACGAGTTTTCTATCCATTTTCTGTTCCCGGTATTAGAAATTAAAAAAAAAATAATTTCGGGAAGGTTGTCATGCACACCTCAATTGAGCTTAAGTAAAAGAGCACAAACTCAACAATCTCTTACTTTCTCTTTTGGTTCAAAGTTGAGTCCAAAACCTAAGATCATGTAACTCACACGTCATCATTAATTGAAAAACACATCATCCTTGTCTCAAGCTAGCTTGGGGATCTACCATATATTATTAAACAAGGTTCCTCATAATCAACAAATGATTATCTAATCCAGTGCTACTCCACTAAAGGCCCAAACTTGAACTTCAAGATTAGTAACACTTATAACATGAATATGCATCGCCCATTTGTAGAACGTCAATAATTGATTGATGAGTTTTATGTTACTCAATCAATTATTTATTCCCTTGATTATGATAGTTTCTCTACTGGATTACATACACCGACCAGAGTCTTCAATATCCAAGTACCGAAACATATAAAGGGGACATATCCTACAAATTCAATGTTGTTTATCTTATAAATACCGATAATCAAATAATTTCACTCCCATAATACCGAGTTATTGGTCGTCAATAGATCAAGCATCACTAGTTGGTAAATCAAAGAAGGAAAACTATCCAATTACCTATTTATAATAAACTCAGTATTAAGAGCAATAACATAACTATAGTTAATTGGAGATTTGATACCTTATGACAAAAAAAAAAAAAACAACCTTAATCAAATCCCTCCTTGATTCTTTCAATGTGAATATTAATTCACACCAACATTTTACAATGGTTCGAACAAAACCATTTCATAAAATATTACAGCCTAAATAAAGAGTTCAACTTTATTTAACAGTTGTTAATCTATTTATCAATTGTGAAAACCTATGACCATGTCCTCCATGAACGTATCCATATGATCATATACTACGCAATTGATCTGAACCTTGATATTTGTAAATAGTGTGCAAAATAAATGAATAATACCTCATTTATAACTTTCAGCAAAAATACAATGTCATATTTTGTTGCTCAAAGAGCACAAAATTAACAAAGTGAAAATCCAATCTCTTAAAGCTACAGCAAGTCCGGAATCCTCCTAAGACCCATAGATGTAACATGTCTATCGAATACACGTTCAGGCAAACTCTTGGTAAAAGGGTTAACAAGGTTTTCCTCTAATGCTATCTTGATTACCATTATGTTCTCCTCTTTGAATGATATCTCGAATCAAGTGGTACTTCCTATCTACGTGTTTATGTCTTTTATGACACCTCGGTTCCTTAGATTGTGCTACTGTCCCACTATTGTCATAGTAAAGTGTGATGGGATGACTAGCACCTGGTATCACCTGAAGATCCATAAGGAACTTCTTCAACTAAGTGGCTTCCTTTGCAGCTTCAGATGCAGCTACATACTTAGCCTCTGTGGTAGAGTCAGCCACACGCGACTATTTGACATTCCTCCAACAAATGGCCCTGCCATTAATAGTGAACATATAGCCATAAGTTGATTTTCTTGAGTCAGTGTCTCCTTGAAAATCTGAGTCTGTGTAACCAACGATTTCAAGACTCCCACTAGAATAGACCAACATATAATCTCTTGTTCTCCGAAGATACTTGAGTATATGCTTAACTGTTATCCAATGTTCCTCTCCAGGATCAGATTGGTACTGGCTTACTACTCCCACTGCATAGCAATGCATAGCAGATATCTGATCTGGTACAAAGTATAGCATACATGAGACTATATACTGTCAAAGCATAAGGTATCCTACTCATATTTTGTGAGAGGTTTTTGAGAGCACCTTTAGGGAAAAGCTTGATTGTTAGGCCTCCTTAGGGAAGTTTGAGATAATACCACAATTGTAGGTGAGGTTTGAGTGTACCATCATTATTGGTGAAGTTTAATATTTTGTACCAATTATTCTCATAGCAAAAGTTTGAATCTGGACTAGTGTCCCATGGGTTTTTACTTCTTCACATTTGAGAATGTTTTCCCACGTTAAAATTTGTTGCGTTTTCTCTCTCTCTCTCTCTCTCTCCGCGTTTTTGTTTTACCTCTACACTGGCCAACTTGGTGACTCAGGCCAACCTTTGATTGAGCCGAGCTCCAAGCTCGACGTTTGATTTTCGCAAAGGCTTCTTGGCCGATATTGAGGGACCGAGTTCGTCCCAACAGAAGCAACTTGGTTGTCATAAAAAAGATAAACTGGAGTTGAATGAGGAATCTGCAAGTTATTCAGCAAAGATAAAAGTCATAACAATTCACATGTGACATTTGCAATTGAGCGATATTCAGCTTCAGCTGAGGAATGAGCAACAATTGTTTGTTTCTTGGATTTCTAGGAAATGAGAGAGTGTTCAAGAAACACATAGAAACCAGAAACAGACTTGCGGCTGTCCAGGCATGGAGCCCAGTCTGAGTCACAAAAAGCATGAAGTTGAAGGGAAGATTTGTAGGAAAACAATAGACCTTGACCGATAGTAAACTTCAAATAGCCAAGAATGTATTGAGCAGTCTGAAGGTGAGGCTGATGAGGGGTAGACATGAATTGGCTTAAATGATTAACATCAAAACAAATATAGAGTTTGGTGATAGTCAAATAAAGGAGACAGCCAATTAGCTTACGGTGTGCAGTGAGATCTTCCAAGACTTGACCATCAGTTATAGATAACTGGACATTTGGTTCCTTAGGGTGGAACGAGGTTGACTACC